CCATGACAGTGCTGTGACACTGCACCCCAGTTACACACAGCTCCATGACAGTGCTGTGACACTGCACCCCAGTTACACACAGCTCCATGACAGTTCTGCCACACTGCATCACAGTTACACACAGCTCCATGACACTGCCGTGTCACTGCACCCCAGTTACACACAGCTCCATGACAGTGCTGTGACACTGCATCACAGACCCCAACAGAGCTCCATGACAGTGCTATAACACGGCATCCCAGCTGTCTGACACAGCTCCACAACAATGCTGTAACACTGCATCCCAGCCCCGAACACAAAGAGTGCTCTAACACTGCACCTTAGCCCCACATCACAGCTCTATGACAGTGCTGCAACACTGATCACAGACCCCAACAAGGCTACACGAGATTGCTGCAATATTGCATTACAGACCCGAACAGAGCGCTATGCCAATGCTGCAACACAGCATCCCAGCTCCGTGATAATGCTGTAAAACACAGTTCCTAACCTTTCTGTAATGGTTGTTCTTTGAGATGTGTTACTCAGGTCCATTCCAATATAGCTGTGCGCATTGCGTGCACCATCGCTGGAAGTTTTTCCCCAGTGGTATCTGTTGGGTTAACTCTGGTGCCCCCGGAGTGGCACTTTCATGGCACCCAGGGAGCTGGCTGAGATGATTTAGTTGGGGTTGGTCCTGCTTTGAGCAGGGGGTTGGACTAGATACCTCCTGAGGTCCCTTCCAACCCTGGTATTCTATGACCTACCGACCCACCTCCTCCTCAGTTGCTTCTTGCCGGAACTCTGACAGGGGCAGGCGGGTGGGTCTTGGAATGGACGTGAGCAACACATCTCGATGAACAGCTGTTACGAGAGGTAGGTAACCATTCTTTCTTCTTCAAGTGCTTGCTCGTCTCCATTCCAGTCTAGGTGGTTCCCAAGCAATCAATCAGGACTGGCGTTTTGCTAAGACAGATTGGACTCTGCTGTACCAAAAGCTGCATCATTTCTGGCCTGCTAAGTGAAGGTATAGTAGTGCATGGTGAGCGTGTGGACAGAAGACCAGGCCATTGCCCAGCAGATACCCAGGATCGGGACTGGAACCATGAATGCCGCTGAAGAGGCTTGTGATCTCGTGGAGTGCGCTGTCAAGGGATTGGGATCGGTGCTAGGACTGCCATCGGCAGGGAGTTGAGCCCCAAGAGGATGAGCGAGATGCTGGGCGGTGTCTCACCATCACTGTCAGCTTGTCCAAGATGGGCACTTGCCTCCACAGGACGGGTTCTGCGGTACCGGGGCTGTCCCTGATGGGCCTTGGCTCAGGGAAGGCGTTAGAAGGGACAGAAGGCTTCTTGATGCTTCATATGCCTCTGGTGTAGTTGGCATGGCCAGGGCTGAGTCCCCTCCATGGCTCACCCTAGGTGGGGCATCCATACGCACCAGACTCGACGGGCCCCTTTCCGGGACTGGAGTGGCCCGGCACGGGTCTCTCTCTCTCTGTGGCTCTCCTCGGGGGGGATCGTCCCCAATCTGACTTTTTTCTTTTTCTTCGGCACCAGTGATGGGGAGCGGTGCCGACCGGCCAGGGTTGACTTCTTGGTAGCCGGAGCAGTTTGTTGGTGCCGGGGATCCTGGACCCCGCCGAGACTCTCTAAATGAGGCCGGGGCACTCCTGATGGAGGAGGGGTTCGATGCCGGGTCGGGCTCCGAAGAAGGGCGAAGTGCCACCTCCATTAGGAGAAATTTGAGTCCAGTGTCTCTTTCATTCTTAGTCCTGGGCTTTACAGTTCTTACAGGTCCGGCACTTATCCGGAACGTGGCCCCTCCCAGGCAGTTCAGGCAGCTGCCGGGCTGTTGGAAGCCCTGGGGCCCCAGTGGTAAGCCCCACAGGGTGGGAGCTTACAAGTACCCAAATCTAACGAACTATTTGCTAACCGCGACTAACTGAACGTTTTACACTCTGTCTACAATCTATTTCCAGGAAAGCACTAAGGAGTATCACTTGCAGAGCACGAGAACAAAACCATTCGAGGGACTGTCATGGACGCGGAGAGGGAACTGAGGAGGCGGTGGGTCGACAGGCCCCTATATACCGTGCCAGGAAGGTGCCACTCCAGGGTGCACCAGAGTCGACCTGACGGATATCACTAGGGGAAAAACTTCTGGCAACGGTGCACATGACACGCACACAACTATACTGGAATGGACACGAGCAAACACTCAAAGAAGAACATTGCATCCTAGCCCCCAACACAGCTCCAGACGGTGCTGCAGCACTGCATAAAAGATCCCAACACAGCTCTACAACTGTGCTACCACACTGCACCACACACCCCAACAAAGATACATGATTGCTGCAATACTGCATCACATATCCAAACAGAGCTCCATGACAGTGCTGTAACATTGCATCCCAGCCCCCGAAAACCGCTTCAAGAGAATGACGTAACACTGCAAACAAAGGAAACGCAGTGGATCTAATTTACCTTGATTTCAGAAAGGCATTTGATACGGTTCCACATGGGGAATTATTAGCTAAATTGGAAAAGATGGGGATCAATATGAAAACTGAAAGGTGGATAAGGAACTGGTTAAAGGGGAGACTACAACGAGTAGTACTGAAAGGTGAACTGTCAGGCTGGAAGGAGGTTACTAGTGGAGTTCCTCAGGGATCGGTTTTGGGACCAGTCTTATTTAATCTTTTTATTACTGACCTTGGCACAAAAAGTGGAAATGTGCTAATAAAGTTTGCGGATGACACAAAGCTGGGAGGTATTGCTAATACAGAGAAGGACCGGGATATCATACAGGAAGATCTGGATGACCTTGTAAACTGGAGTAAATAGGATGAAATTTAATAGTGAAAAGTGCAAGGTCATGCATTTAGGGATTAATAACAAGGATTTTGGTTATAAATTGGGGACACATCAGTTGGAAGTAACAGAGGAGAAGGACCTCGGAGTATTGGTTGATCAGAGGATGACTATGAGCCGCCAATGTGATATGGCCGTTAAAAAAGCTAATGCGGTCTTGGGATGCATCAGGCGAGGTATTTCCAGTAAAGATAAGGAGGTGTTAGTACCGTTATACAAGGCACTGGTGAGACCTCATCTGGAATAGTGTGTGCAGTTCTGGTCTCCCATGTTTAAGAAGGATGAATTCAAACTGGAACAGGTACAGAAAAGGGCTACTAGGATGATCCGAGGAATGGAAAGCCTGTCTTATGAAAGGAGACTCCAAGAGCTTGGCTTGTTTAGCCTAACGAGAAGAAGGCTGAGGGGAGATATGATTGCTCTTTATAAATATATCAGAGGGATAAATACCAGGGAAGGAGAGGAATGATTTAAGCTCAGTACCAATGTGGACACAAGAACAAATGGATATAAACTGGACATTAGGAAGTTTAGACTTGAAATTAGACGAAGGTTTCTAACCATCAGCAGAGTGAAGTTCTGGAACAGCCTCCCAAGGGGAGCAGTGGGGACAAAAGACATATCTGGCTTCAAGACTAAGCTTGATAAGTTTATGGAGGGGATGGTATGATGGGATAGCCTCATTTTGGCAATTAATTGATCTTTGACTATTAGCGGTAAATATGCCCAATGGCTTGTGATGGGATGTTAGATGGGGTGGGATCTGAGTTACTACAGAGAATTCTTTCCTGGGTCTCTGGCTGGTGAGTCTTGCCCACATGTTCAGGGTTTAACTGATCGCCATATTTGGGGTCAGGAAGTAATTTTCCTCCATGGCAGATTGGCAGAGGCCCTGGAGGTTTTTCGCCTTCCTCTGCAGCGTGGGTCATGGGTCACTTGCTGGAGGATTCTCTGCACCTTGAGGTCTTTAAACCACGATTTGAGGACTTCAATAACTCAGACATAGGTTAGGGGTTTGTTACAGGAGTGGGTGGGTGAGATTCTGTGGCCTGCGTTGTGCAGGAGGTCAGACTAGATGACCATAATGGTCCCTTCTGACCTTAAAGTCTATGAGTTCCATGACACTGAAGTAACACTGCATCACAGCCCCAAACACAGCTCTACAACAGTACTGCAACACTGCATCCCAGCGGAACACAGCTCCATGACAGGCATGCGTCTGACGAAGTGGGCATTCACCCACGAAAGCTTATGCTCCAATACATCTGTTAGTCTTAAAGGTGCCACAGGACTCTCTGTTACTTTTTACAGATCCAGACTAACATGGCCACCCCTCTGATACTTAGCTCCATGACAGTGCTGTAACACTGCATCGCAACCCCCAACACAGGTAACACAGCCCCTA